CTGTAGAGTCTACTGTAGAGTCTACTGTAGAGTCTACTGTAGAGTCTCGTTTGAGTTCTGAAGAATAACTAGACTTGAAATATTGACTGGTTCTCTCCCCACAGATGGTACCAGACCTGCCGAGTTTTCCTATCACTTTGGGTTTTTCTAAATTTCAGATCTCCAGCAGTATTTTGCTTCTATTACAACAGTACCATAATCTGGGTAAACACATTCGAAGTTAGGAGTGCTGCTGGTTACAATCCCTGCCCCAGTTGAATGAGTTCCACCAGTTTCCAGGTGATATAACAGAGGGGAAGGTGGTACTGGATAGGAATTACCAACACTTGTATATTTGTCATAGCACCTTATGACTGATCACTGATCAAAACCAGGGATGCCAACGATAACTCCACATCTAACCTGAAGCTGTCTGGATGGGGCTAACCAGCAGGTGGGAAATTCTCCTCCCAAGGGCCAAATGGTATTCATATTGAAATAGTATTCCCAACAGCACTGCAAAATAGGCTCAAAACGTGGTGGCAAGGTGCTGGATTGTCAAACTGCATTTTCAAAAATGAGAAACATTAGTGAAGACCAAAGCCCAGGTGCAGGATAAAAACTTATTTTGTTCAGAAGAAATTCAGCAATTGGTCAAGTTTGAGAGGAGGAGGATGGTAGCGGATTTGGGAAGGACAAGGATTTTAGGAGAGAGAACGGATGTTATGCTTTAAGATTATTTAACCACTTTAGTTAGAGAAACAAAGTACAAGTGTTTTGAAAAAAAAAAGTTTGCTTTAAATGAGATAACAAGGTGTACAGCTGGATGAACACAGCAGGCCAAGCAGCATCAGAGGAGCAGGAAAGCTGATGTTTCGGGCCTAGACCCTTCTTCAGGCCCAAAACGTCAGCTTTCCTGCTCGGCCTGCTGTGTTCATCCAGCTCTACACCTTGTTATCTCAGATTCTCCAGCATCTGCAGTTCCTACTATCTCTGAAACAATTGCTTTAAATGAACTTGTTTCAAAGGACAGCTGAGGTTATGAATTCAAAGTCAGACAATATGCAATCAGATATTGATTTGGCCAGGGACTTGTATTAATGTATGAATACACATTGTAGCAACTGAAGTCTGACTCTGGTCATACCTACTGTTCTGTACCTATTACTCTACTTGCAGTAAAACTGTTTGTGTCTCAAACCAAACACATGCTCAACTTTTACAATCTCTAAAGTTTAAAACGGAGGCAGTCTTGCTTTATAAAACTTCCAAATGAAAGGAAACAGGCCACGTGGTCTGATCTGGAAAACTAGCAAAGCAGAAGTGGGGAATCTGTCAATGGCAAAAATATACTGTTCCCTTGCATGTGTCGGTCCTAAATGGTGTGTCTGACAAGAGTGCATCCACCCAATAGTTTTAATCTTCTGTAATTTGTTGGAAATCCAGAAATTGCATAAAAGCTACGGCATTCCCTATAACTGCTCACTCTGTTCAGAGATCTGTACCACATGGATTAAAAATGGACCTCACTCATATAGAACTTTGCACCATAAAAGTGAGAGAAAAGATACTACCATTGACAAGTTACTTCACTGGTCAGCCGGTGTCAAAATTTCATTCTGAAAAAGGAACACAACCACCCCTGAACAAATTCTGAATTGTAATTGTTTAATTGCAGTGCTACCCATCACTTATTAGGCTTATGGTAGCATGCATTGCTTCAGCTGTAAATAAATAAATATAAACTGTAAAGAGGAGTCATTGGACTCAAAACATTTGCTGTTTCCCTCTCTGAAGATATTGCCAGACCTGCTGAGTTTCTCCAGCTTTCTCTGCATTTGTTATAAATAACCTGATCAGCTTTAGCCTAAGTCTCAACATCATGGTATTTATTGTCTTTTAAATAGACAGTCAAATATAAAGGTCATCCCATGTGATATGCAATGTGGTGTTTATCAGAGCTCTGGATGATTGCAAATCTGGGCATGGGATTCACACATACCAGACACAGAAGAGGCTACATTTTTGCTGTGTGCAGCATTACCCTCTGGAGCACCAGGAAAATTCCATTCCAATGGAAAGGTTAAGCTCTAGAACAACAATCAGGGAGCTATTAATGAGGCTCGTTTGGTAGCCAAATTGGTTTTCTGGATGCTATGTACAAATTGATTGCTGCATCAAGTGATCAGAAGTTCAAAATGGAAGGACTCCAAAGTACATTAACAAAACATTTTAAAACCATGAGGCAAAGTAGTCACATGCACATTCCCTCAAAGACCCATCACTTCAAACAGGTAACTGAAGGCATTGCTGTTTGGCACAGTGAAATGGTGTCCCACCATATCATTCATTCCCAATAAATTTCTAACGCTCTCATCCTGAGGCTTACAGACAACACTCCACAGGAATGTGCAGGAAGGCTGGGGTTACAAATTGGTCATTTTTGTAGCCATTTTCTTGATGAAAAAAAACAGGGCTAGTGAATCGGATTTACAATATTATACATTGTGCTTCAAAGATTTCTTAAAAACGTTCCAGTGAACTAACCGGTTTCAGGTAATTTCGGACATCAGAGCTAGTTAGCCAAAATGTTTCCCAATCTAAGGAAAGGCCTAATATTAGGGAACAATTGTACTTTTCCAAGTGGAGTGCATACAGTTTTGTGCCTAACACATTTAGATTTGCAAACGGTGAAATATCGTCTAGCAAGAAGCCAGTCAAAGGCAGTTTCTTTTTTAGTATCAAATGACAACAAGAGCCTGAAATTTTCTTTCTGAAAACAATGAGCTGCTGCAGGAGGGTTCCGTAGCTGAGTGAAATAAGTTTCAATTCTCGCCTGGTCATGGCCTTCTAGTTCAGACATTGCTACCTGTGCAACATTGAACCTGGGCCCAAAATATCACCATCCAACCCCCTTCCCCAGTTGGCAACTGCAGTATCTTCGAAATTCAAGCGCATTTTGTAGATAACTGATCTACACACGATTAAATCTCAGTTTTCAAATCTATTGAGAATATAAGCTTTTTTCAAAAAGAAAGATTACGAGTTCCAGGTTTTTTCCAGAGAACACATCGATTTCAGCCAAGACATGCAGCAAACCACTCCCACAATTGTGCTTTGCTGCTCTTCAGTGGCTACAAGGAAATCACCAGAGCAGTTTCAGTCAACTTGGCTGCAGTGTTGTTCCTTATAACAGGAGATTGATATGGAATGCAATTTTAAAAAAAAATCCATCAATGTGTAAAAAGAAATACCAGAAGGATCCCAGTGTGATATTAAATACAGTTCACCATTGGCCACCCAATTGTACAAGGCAGAGAAAGAAAGTACTAAATGCTGTTCTCTGGGTCCCACTACACTCCTGACATCGTGCCCCATGCCTGTGGGGTGAGAATCAGCTTGCTCAGGCACATGAAGATTCTCAGCACAAACTTGCCATCCTGAGGAGACATTATCCTCGAACTGAAGGGCAGCCAATGATGGTCACCAATTCCAATATACTTTTTCCCCTTAATTGGGGAGCAATTGGCTCAGAACTGTTCCTGATTACCATCGATTGTCTCTTGCTGTTGGCTATATAAGGTACTGGAATCTTGGCCTCTTCCAGTGGCCCCAGCATCACAAATGCCAGCCTTCAGCCAAATCAATTCATTCTATATGTCAAGAATTATGTGGATACTGCAAAGGCTATGGGCCCTGACAACATTCTGGCAATAGTGCTGAAAACTTATGCTCCAAAACTTGCTACTTTCCTAGCCAAGCTCTTCCACACAGCTGCAACACTGGCATCTAACCAGCAATGTGGAAAATTGCCCAGGTATGTCCTGGACACAAAAAGCAGGACATATCCAACCCGACCAATTACCACCAATCAGCCTTCTCTCGATCATCAGTAAAGTGATGGAAGGTCTCAACAACAGTGCTATCAAGCAGTACCTACTCAGCAATGCCCTGTTTGGGTTCCAACAGGGCCACTCATGTGCTGACCTCATTACAGCCTTGGTTCAAATGGGGACAAAAGAGCTGAATTCCAGAGGTGGGGTGAGAATGACAGCCCTTGACATCAAGGCTGCATTCGACTGAGTCTAGCAAAACTAGAATCAACAGGAATCAGGGGCCAGGCTGGTTGCAGTCATACATGGCACACAGGAAGATCTCAGCTCTAGGACATCTTTGCAGGAGTTCCTCAGGATAGTGTCCTAGGCCAAGCCTCTTCAGCTGCTTCATCAACGATCTTCCCTCCTTCACAAAGTCAGAAATGGGGATATTCACTGATAATTGGATAATGTTCAGCACCATTTACAACTCCTCAGATACTGAAGAACTCCATGTTCAAAGGCAACAAGATCTAGACAATGACCAGGCTTGGATTGACAAGTGGGAAGTAACATTTGCACCACACAAATGCCAGGCAATGACCTTCTCCAATAAGAAGCAATCTAATCACCACCTCTTGACATTCAATGGTGTCACCATCACTGAAGCCCCCACAATTAACATCCTGGGGGGTATCATTGACCATAAGTTCAACTGGACTCACCATATAAATACAGCGACTACAAGAGCTGGTCAGAGGTTAGGAATACCGCAGTAAGTAACTCACCTTCTTACTCCCCACAACGACTCCACCATCTAGAAGGCACAAGTCAGGAGTGTGATGGAATACTCTCCACTTGCCTGGATGAGTGCAGCTCCAACAACACTCAGGAAGCTTGACATCATCCAGGACAAAGAAGTCCACTTGATTGGCACCTCATCGACCAACATCCGCTCTCCAGCACCAACGGTCAGTAGCAGCAGTGTGTACTATCTACAAG